AAACAAAGACCAGACTCTAGTTAGCCCAGGTTGGAACAAATTATTAAAATAAATGAGTCAGAAGCGTAACATACCAAAGGCACTGAGCCCTAAGTACCCATTAGGTAACTCATGATGTTGGGGTTGGAGCCCTGGAGTCCAGACTGATGGCCAGATGATAAAGAGGCAGGAAGGTGCCCACTGGGCAGCAGGGACAAAAGAAAATGAACATGGGGGGGGTCCCTTCAGAATGGAAGCATCCTGGGAGCGACTTTATTATTGCTGTTGTTACTATTATTATTACTTTGCAATTATTATTGTGCAATCCCTAGCTATCTGCTATAATTACCCACCCCTTGCGTGTGTGTTTTGTTTTGCTTGAGACAGGGTCTGCTGGGTAGTTAAAGCTGGTCTTGGATTCCTTCGGCCTCCCGAGTGCTGGGATTACAGGCATGCACCACCACCCTTGGTTTTTTGCTGTAACTACACTAGGTAGAATGTAGTTTTATCAGAGTTGGGGTTTCAAGCTTCTTTTGGGAAGTAGCCAGAAAATGAAGTAGAAACTTTTTTTTCCCATACCAGGGATCGAACTCAGGACATTGCACTTGCAAGTACACCCTCTCCACCCTAAAGTAGAAACTTAAAACAAAACATAAAGGGCTGGGGACTTAGCTCAATTGGTGACGCTGCCTGCCTTGAAAGCACAAGGTCCCCAGTTCCATCCCTGGAACCAAAAAGAAAAACAAAACAAAACATAACACAAGGAGGTTGGGGATTTAGCTCAGTGGTTCCACCACCTGCCCTGAGAGCCCAAGGACCCGAGTTTGATCCCTGGTACCAAGAAAAAAACCCACAAAACATTATGGTCTCAAGATGCACAAAGCTGTCTGTTTTTGATGCCTATTTCAGACCTATGCAAAACATAACACAAGGCCTCAACGAGATACACTTAATAAAACTGTTACTTCTTTTATGACTAAGATACAAATCAAGGGCAGGAGTGTTACCCATAGGACTAAGAAAAAAGCCAGGACTGGGGCCAGAGATTCAGCTCAGCGGCGCCCCCGCCTGCCTCACAAGGGCAAGGACCTGAGTTCAATCCCGGGTACAAAAAAAAAAAAAAAAAAAAAAAAAACAACCAGGATTCAAATTCCAAAAATTCAAACAGGTAGGAGGCGCTGAGAGCCACAGCAAGTGTTTACCCACTGCGCTACACGGCCAGGTCTTAGATTTCACGCCTTCTTAAAGGGTACACAAATCAAAGGCAAGTCCTAGTCACAAGTCTGCCTGCACTTCCTCATTTCCTCTCCTTCCTTTTTTCTGTGCAGGGCTGGGCGGAACCCAAGACTGTACACGCTAGGCAACTGCTCTATCAGAGAGCAACACCCAGCCCTACATCCTGAACTCTCTTTTCCCTCCTCATACGTCTTCTTGGGTGTGAAATTTCATTTCTAATTCCAGGCTCCTTAGGGCAGAGGTGTTCAAGGGCCTGCTGTAACTGCCACGAGGCGCTCCTTTACCCTCTGGACGGGCCGGGCTCTGTGGCGCACGCCTGTCCTTCCGGCACTTAGGAGGCTGAGGCAGGCTCAGGTCCCACAGCTAGGCTAGCGAGGCAGGCAGCGGGACAACGATGTCAATCCCCAGCCCTAGCCCCTGTGTTTTACATAACAAAGATCTAGACTTCCTGACTCCTGACCCAGTGATTTTCTATTTAGTCCATAAACATTACCTGAGCCTTTCCTCCGCGCTAAGCGTTTCGGGTGCTTAGAGGAATCGGTGAGAACAGACACACGGCCCGGGCACAGGAGTCTGCACCGTCTAGCCGTCCTTTCTTCTGCCTTTGCACGGGTGCTGTCTCAAACTCCTTCTCTCCTGAGTCGGTCAACACCGGCTGGGGACTCGTGCTCACACGGGCAGGGGTCCCTGCTACAGCAGCGTCTCCGCCGCAGACTTCACCTAACACCTGTTTCTTTATCTTAAAACCACCTACTCAGCAAACGTGGGGAAAGGCAGGCACCTCCGAGGCCTCCGGCGCACACCCCAGTGTCGGTGTGGCCCGGCTCTTCCCCGCCCAGCCGCAGGCTCCGCACCTGCACCGCGCAGACACCACCCTGCCTCTCACCCAGTC